TGGCCGTGTTGTTGTGGGCCGCAGTCGGGGTTGACGTCGACTCGGCAGGCCCGTGTTCGGTAGTGGACAGGAGGGTCAGACGGCGCTCGGGTGAACAGGCGCCAGTGGAGCGGGGAGCCCAATGCCTTTCCCTGGGCTTGGGCAAACCTGCGAGTGCGGCACCTGGCCAAAGGGGAGCGGTGAGGGCCGCCGACGGGCGGGTGGCCGATGCCCCTCACCCCCCCGCGCTCCCTGTCGAGGCCGCTGACGAGCGGGTGGCCGAGTCCCTCGACGGGCGCAGCCAAGCCAAGGTGCCAAGTGACCAGCGGACGAGGTCGACGGCGGAGGAGGCCTGCATTGGCAAGGCTTATCTCGGGCCGCAGCCCGCCCCTGAGTCGGGCCCTCGAGATTCTGATGGCCGTGGCTGCGAAAGAGCGGACTGGATCCACCACTGCTTCGCGGGCTTTGCGATGGCCGCCCCGCCCGTCGAGGAGGCCAGCCTGTTCCTAGGCATCTGCAAGTTCGTCGGGCACGTGCGCCACGACGTCCTTTGTTTGTCCGCCCTGCGCTTCGGCTTCAACCTGAAGCTGCTGCGCGGCCTCCCCGCCATCTTCCTGGCCCCGAGGATCGCGCTGGCAGGAGGCATGGCGTCGGCCCCCTCTGGGGCCAGTGGCGCAGTGCTGGCGGGCTGCGCGTGCGCGACGGCTGCTGCTAAGCTACCCCTACTTGGGGGCCTCCTCGCAGCTGGGGATCAGCGGCCTCTTGCCACCCTGCGCAACTTAGAGGGCGACGTCTCGCTCCAAGCTGTCGGCTCGGCGAGGCTGGTGGTCGACCAGCTCGTGGGGGCCAGTGGGGAAATGCTGCGACACCTTCGGGATCACCACCTCCCGCTCAATGAGGGCAAGTCCGTGTTCCTGGCCTCGTCGGCACAGGTGGCGGACGGCCTTGCCGCCAGCTGGGCAGCCCTTGGCTTCGAGGTCAAGCGCGGGCCCCAGGCCCGCAATATGGGCACCGACGCCTACGTGACCAGCAGGGGAGTCCACGAGGGAGGCGCCCGCGCGGTGGGAGGCCGCTCCCGCGCCAGGCGGCTGAGAACCCTGGGCTCGGCGGGGGCCTCGGTGGTGCCCTTGCACCGCGCTGGCCCAACCGCCGCCATGTTTCTGTTGCGGGTTGGTTGGCGCCTCTCGGCTGGGCGCATCTTGCACACCGACGAAGGCCACGCATTGGACATGCTGATCTTGGGCCCCCGCGAGCTCGGACTGCTGGCTGCGGCAGGGGCTCGCAGGGCCTCCGACAGGGCAGAGATGACGCGGCTTCGGCACGGCGCCGCCCCCGCCATGCCCTTGTTCTGGGACGCTCTCGGCCAGGTCATCGGCCCGCGCGGCAAGTCCAGCGGCAGGGAGAAGGCGGCCTGGAGGTCGGACGCGGTGGCAGTCATGTGGGTGAACAGGCCTGCCGACGGGCTGCTAGGCGGTCGCCTCTACCTCGACGGCTCGGCGCTCGACCCTGAGTTCGGATGCATCCGCAGGGCAGGCTGGAGTATCGTGCAGTGCGACGAGTTCGGCAACCTGCAGGCGGCGGTGTACGGCACGGTCCGCCTAGACCTGCGCCCTTCCCAGACGGCCAAGGACGGCGAGCACTTCGCGGTCTGGCTGCTGAGCCGCTACCCCGGGCCTTCGTTCATCGGAATCAACAGTGACTGCGCGGCCACAGTCAGCTGCTTGCAGCCCGGCAGGAGGTATGCGTCGGCGGCCAACAAGCCCAACGCTCACCTGTGGTCGGTCGTCTACGCCTCGCTAGACGTCGACTCGCTCTTCGTGAACAAAGTTGAGGCCCACTGCGCCGAGATCGTCTTTCGTGGGGGCAGGATCTCGGAGGGTCAGTGGCTTGGGAGCGCCTACGCCGACAGGCTGGCGAAGGCGGGAGCGGCCCTCCACAGGGCCAGCGCGGCTGCCAGGCGCGAGTTCTTCGGCACGAAAGAGGTCGTGCGTGGGCTCTCCAGGAGGATCGCGCAGGTTTCGATCGTCTGGCAGGGCAGGGCCTCCAAGGGCTGCGAGAGCCTCCCCGTGTGCGACGAGCGAAGGACGGCTGTCACCTTCGCGGTCCCGCTGAAGGAGCGTGCTGGCGGTCTGCGGGCGGCTCCCGTGTGCGAGTCGGACGCCGCGCCCGCCGCCGTTGAGGCCCGCGGGGGGCTGGCAGGCAGCCGCCCCGCCGCCGCTGGCGCCTGGGCCTCGGCTGCACGCGACGGCGGAGTCGCGCTGGGCGCCCTGGCCTTCGCCGTCGCTGGCCGCGCCCTCGCGTTCGCCAGGTGCGGTGAGGACGGCGACGAGCAGGTGATCATCGCGTGCACCAGGTGCGGAGCATATGCGAGGCTAGGCGGACGCCCTGGCCCGCAGCCCAAGCTCAGGGAGCGCTGTCCTGGGGCAACAGGCCTCCCCAGGTCGCTGCGTGGCCAGAAGTCGCCGTGGGAGCGTGGCCTACACCCTGGAGGCACGCCGCACGCCCGCGACACGCGGAGGAAGGGGGCGGAGGCCCCTCGTCTTCGCAAGGAGGCTGAGGTGCCGCAGGGCGCCAGAGAGCGCTTCCTGAAGTGGCTTGGTGTTCAGCCTGGCGCACCAGCAGGCGTCGCGAGCAGCGCCTCGGCGGCCGACGCTGCTGTGAGCGGCGCAGGTTGCGCTACCTCCTCGTCGGCTGCGGTGCCCGCTGCGGCTGGAGGCTCCGCGGCGGGAGAGGGCTCGCGGAAGGCCTGGCTGGATGCTCACGGCCTCGACGAGGAGAGCCTGCTGAGCTGGTCACAGGAGGCCGAGGAGGCCCGACTCGAGCGCCAGAGCAGGAAGCGACGCAGAGATGACGGAGATGGAGGTGATTGAGTCCGCGCTGGCCCCAGCCTTGGGGCGCGCGATGCGCGCGATCTCGCGTGCGCCGAACCTTGGCCGCTCCTGGCGTTGGAGCGCCAACCTGCCTTTCCTCCTGTCCTTCCCTCTGCGTCCGTCTCCCGTCCCCCTGTCCTCTTTGGACCCCTGGTGGCCGCGGGCCTCTGCGCGTGGGCGTGAAGCTTCCTGCGCCTCGCCCGCCTCGCCGCGCCGCTCGGGGCTGTGCAAGCATGTTTGGGGCGTCGCCCGTCGCGTGCCTGCACGTTTGTATTTATTCCAGCGCTTCGCGCTGATGCCCCTCGACGGGGGTTTGAGCTGACTCGCCGAGCGGTGCCTCGGGGCCGATGTGCCCTGCTGGCTGCCTTCTTCGGCTCGTCTGGGCTCTCGGGATCCCTTGTGGCCCGCCCCCTGTCGTGGGATGGCCCCTTGGGGCTCTGGCCCCTCAGTGGGGCCTGGGTCCTTGGTGGGCTCTGTTTAGCCTTTATAGGCCCCGCGCTAACACACACACACACAAAACAAACACACACACGCGGACAGGCACACGCACGCACAAGCACAGGCACACACGCACGCACGCACACGCACACGCACACACACGCACTCACACACCCGCACACCCGCACACCCGCACACCCGCACACACACACACACACACACACACACACACACACACACGCACGCACACACACACACAGACACACACACACAAAACAAACACACACACACACACACACACACACGCGGAAAGGCACACGCACGCACAGGCACAGGCACACACGCACGCACGCACACGCACACGCACACACACGCACTCACACCCCGCAACACACACACACACACACACACACACGCACGCACGCACGCACGCACGCACGCACGCACGCACGCACGCACACACACACACACACAGACACACACACACACACGCGCGCACGCACGCACGCACGCACGCACGCACGCACGCACGCACAAACACACAAACACACAAACACACATACACACAAAACACACACACACGCGCAAAGGCACACGCACGCACTGGCACAGGCACGCACGCACGCACGCACACGCACACGCACACACATACACACACACACACACACACACGCACGCACGCACGCACGCACGCACACACACACATGCACACACTCACACCCGCTCACACACAAGCACACACACGCATCCACACGCACACACACACACACCAGATGCGCAGCAGCAAGATGCCATAGTCATGGCTGCGGTCGGGGAAACACATGCAGGAAAGATAGAGGGCCCCAAGATCCCTAACAGGGCCCCAAGAGAGCCCCAAGAGTAACCCCAAGAGGGCCCCAAGAGGGCCCGCAAAGAGCCAAAAGGCTTTCGACGTGGCCCCTTGTTCTTCCCAAGGTGACTCGAGGCGTCTCAAGGCCTGTTCGTATGAAGTGATACTATTTGGCTGAAAATTGCTCCACGAGGCTCCTCGAGGTGTAATTCAACAACTGTTGGCCGCATTCCTTCACTATCTGCTGACCTACGCCTCTCCTCTAGATCCTTCCCCTGGGCATCCATCGTGTCTGGAGGACTGATGGGGATACGGGGAACGCTCAGAATCGTGGCAGACTTTAGACGACAATGCAGGGCGTTATGGCGGGAACGGGATTTTGAAAACGTCCTGGCCTCCATTCTTGAAGCCCACGCGAACGTTTACAAAGAATGTGCGCGACGCTCAAGCGAGAGCCGCATGTTGAGAATGAGCAGGCCTACATCCTTGAAGCTGTTTGCAAGCTTTTGAAACGAATGCACGCGGCGCTAAGGCGAGACCCGCAGTTTGGAAACTGCCCGCCCTCCATCCTTGAAGCTGTTGAGAACTATCAGTAAGAATGTGCGCGGCGATGAAGCGAGAACCTTCGATTGAAAACGACATGCCCTACATCCTTGCAGCTGTTGGAGCGTTTCACTCCAGGATAACAGATTGCACAGAAGTCTCAAGCAACACGCCCAGCCCGACTTACAGACGTGTCTGGAGTAGGAGGGGGGGGAGGATGAGGGAAGAGGAGGGAGGACAAAGAGGAGAGGAGCAGGACGAGGAGGAACAGGAGGGAGGCCAGGGAAGAGGGGGAAAACGGTAGGCGGCAGGAGAATTGTTACTGATGTCCCCCCATGGGCCTCTGGCGGCAGCGCACGCGGCGAAACAGCTGCGCCGGGTTGCTCGGGCATTCGTCCGGGCGTACAACATCGCCCGGAGCGCCCATTCTCTACACGCCCCGGTTGAACTACTGGGTTGCCCAAGGGCTGCCACGACCACAATGACAATGCTGGGAGAAGCTGAGTCCAGCCCGAGGCCCACCAAACAGAAACCCCTGGCTCCCACCAGACCTGCTCCAACCGGACATATCGCTGCCAGAGAGAAGGCGGAGTCCGGCTGGATGCCCACCAAACGAAACCCCTCGGCTGCGAGCGGACTTGCCCCGACCGGCCTGAGCGTTAGGTCGGGCATGTCCTCCTACAGGCGGATGTTGGACAAAAAACAACAGATATCACAAACATGCTCAAACAGTGTCGAGAGAGACAGACAAATAGTCCCCAGACGATTTGACTATTCTTGAGCAGTCCTGCTGCAGAGGGGCATGCCC